TGCCCTGGTAACAGCACAGGAGGGACTCTCATTAAGAAACAGAGATGTTTGGTTCCACAACAGCTGTGGTACACATTCTGGGCAAAGATGTGTATTTTAGAATCTTTTCCATTTTGTTAATGTTTTTAGTCATCATACTTCATGTTGACAACTTTTTGAATATAAACAAATACATGTTTCATAATCATTAATTTTCTGACAGTAAATCCAATCCTTTTTCCCTCAGGCAAAAATAACCTTCTAGTTCTATAATCCTGGCAGTACTTTATTACTGTCGGAGACCGAAGTGTTTGTATAAGCTTGAGACAATCTGCTTTCATTCCATCTCCAAACTATACTAATTCACATTGAATTCGCATTTCTCTTTTTAGTTGTCGTGAATATAAATGGTGCCAGGGAGCGTGGGTTGGTGTGTGTGTAATTTGAACTGATCTGTGGAGAGTCCTTGTGTACAGGCTGTCTGAAAGGCCACTAGCTCATCGCGTCTGTGTCTTTTCGGGAATTGATGGTTTAGATTGTGTGGTGCAATGGAGAAAGTTCTGGACTTCTGGTCTGGAGGCGCTGGTTCTGATCTGTCTTTTGACTAACAAGCTGTAGGACTCTGGCAAGTCCCTTCACGCCTCCAGCCTCTTTTATTTTCATAAAAGGGGTTGAAGCAACAGAGGCTCTGATGTCACTTCCGCCTTTAAAATTCTGTACTTCTCATGCATGTCCCTAATTATCATGCCTAATAGGAACCATCAGTTTTGCTGCTTATTGGTTGTTTTAATTTACAAAGGGCTTTTTTTTAATGGATATAGAGAATGCCAAATATTCTATTTTAAATTAAATTTTAGAGAAAGAGACCAGCAGATGACACTAAAATACAGCAAGTCTTCAGTAACTTTTTGAGAGAATAACAGTTACAGCCTCCCATGAACCTTGGCATTTCCCCGAATTGCATAAATTATGTTTACCATTCACAGGTAAATATTTGCATACCTAAATAATGACTCCACAAAGCTATAAGGAATGAAGAGGATAATTTATGCCCTAGAGTAGAGCTTTACTTTGTAATTCAGCTCCATTGAAGAAACTCTCCTTAATATCTTCTTCAACGTCCTAGAACAGAGGGAAGAGCTATTCGACCACTGCTGAGGCTGAAGTATTCTGTGTAAGCTGTCACATGGTATTTGAACAACGTTCCTACATGATATAAATCAATAACTATTTATGTACTCGATACTTACTACACACTGTATTAAGTGTATTACATATATTATTTAATTCTCACAACTGTCTTTTGATATTATCTCCAATTCATTGGTCTCAGAGAAGTCAAGTAACTTAACCAGACAATAGTTAGTAAGGGACAGAGCTAGGATTTGGACCTAAGATTCTAAAGCCAGTGCCTTCATTCTTGTCACCCACTGTCTCCAGCAACACTAGCCAGGCAAGACCACTACATCTCAAATACTTCATTTGTTTTTCATAGAAAATTAAGCATTTCACTTGACTTTGATTTCTCCCTTGAGTGATGCCTCTGCACCCTGAGCCCCTCCACATGTCCCTTTAGCAATATCCACCACTCCCTCAGGAATGAGAACCAGGTGGGCTTGGCCTCAAAAGTCAGTGTTCTCAAGCTCTATAACAGGGCAATTCACTCATGAAGGTGGGGTGTCTTTAGGCATTAAAAGCCCTATCTCATTTCTCTCTTCTTAATTATAGACCACATTTTCCCCATAAGTATCTATCTCCTCTCTCCTTCCACCATAATTACCCAATTGTCCAAAAACCTACTCCCTACTTCAATTCTCTTTAGAAAACATCTACCTTCTAAATATGCTTTAGAAGGTTTTACACTTTTTTTTTTTTTAAAGATTGGCACCTGGGCTAACAACTGTTGCCAATCTTTTTTTTTTTTTTCCCCTGCTTTATTTCCCCAAAGCCCCACTGTACACAGTTGTATATCTTAGTTGCAGGTCCTACTAGTTGTGGGATGTGGGACGCCGCCTCAACGTGGCCTGACGAGCAGTGCCATGTCCGCGCCCAGGATCCGAACCCTGGGCCACTGCAGCAGAGCGCGCGAACTTAACCACTCAGCCACGGAGAAGGCCCCGAAAATTTTACACTTTTACTGGTCTTTGGGAAACAAAGAAAGATTGGAGACAATGCCCTAGACCACTCCCCTTCTGTCTTAGATTGTCTTTCCTAGAAACACACTGAGAGGGAGAATTGTGTGCAGAAGGTTGGTTGGGTTGTCCTCTTAGGAGATACACCTGTAAAGAAGGACTGAGGGAGGGAGGGCCCTGGGATGGGTCAGCCTGGAGAGGAGAGTGGGATGAGCAGCACAGTGTGCACTACATCCTGTCCAACTGGTCGACCTACTTTGTGTCTTCAGTTTAATTACCTGTTTTTCTCCCAGACAAAGGGAGAAAGCTTCTAAGGTTCTAAAGACTAGTCTGGAATCTGACTATGCAGAATTTAAAAGATCTTGAGCTCACTGTCCTGGGAAACCAAATGGAACAAAGAAAGATTATAAAATATGAAAGTTCTAAAACTAATAGAATGAAACTGGGTAATTTGAATGAAAGCCAATCAAATCTATGTGGAATATAGCATATTACTGATTCATTATCAAGCCACATGATTTAATTATATTCTACTTACCTTGCAATTTTCACACCCTAAACCTTCCAGCATAAGTCTGTGTTACCTGATTAGAGAATGCAGACAGAAAGAGAGACACAGAGACAGAGACAGAGAGGCCATGCAAAAGAGAAGCTTAGTTAAGGATGGCAGAATGCATTGCAAATTCAGAAACATCTTTAATAAGTAAAAGAAATTATGCAAATCTCTCTTTTGTTTTCTATAAATAAGCAGAGTTTGATTATTTCAAACTGTTAGTAAGAATACCTTCCGTTTCATCTTTCCTGAACTTGAGCCATTCACAATTTATAAAACACAGGACCATTTTTCAGATCTAACTTAACATGTAGCTCTATTGTTTCAATTGAATTTAGCAAAACCCAGAAAGAAAGTCCTTTCCTAAGACATAATTAATTTCTACAAAATATTGATTTAAGAGCTGCTAAATTAGGAACATACATGTCACTATTGCTAGATTCTTCTAGTCAAACTTTAAAGATATTCTTTCAAAGAAAATATATACCTCAAGTTCTAGGATAAGGAGGTGTTAGTGACTGAAAGACGTTGAGGAAAATGTAACTTAAAAATATCAACTTAGGCCTGGCCCGGTGGCACAGCGGTTAGGTCCACACATTCCCCTTCTCGGTGGCCCGGGGTTCGCCGGTTCGGATCCTGGCTGCGGACATGGCACCGCTTGGCACGCCATGCTGTGGTAGGCATCCCACATATAAAGTAGAGGAAGATGGGCACGGATGTTAGCTCAGGGTCAGTCTTCCTCAACAAAAAGAGGAGGATTGGCAGTAGTTAGCTCAAGGCTAGTCTTCCTAAAAAAAAAAAAATTCAACTCAAACACATCGGTGGTATTATCTATGCTGAAAACAATTATTTACTTTTGTCCTAATAGGAGATTATAAAATAAACATGCAAATAAGTCTGTTAGGTTAATCTGATCAAATAAATTAATAACATAATAAACATCCTAAAGTTTTGGGGAGTGTTTCCACATAAGAAATAAAGAGCTATTCCCATAATTTATAGTTTCAAGGAATTATATAAAATGCTCTTTTAAGTCTGTCTCTAAGGGAGCCACAATTAAAACTTCATTTTAAATGAATTACGCTAGGAACAGAATATAAACTTGTGGAGGGCAGTTTTCGATCTGTTTTATTTACACCGTATCCCCAAGAAGTGGAACACTCACTGGCACAAAATTGGTGCTCAATAAATTTCTGATGATATTTATCTGGTCTTTGAGATTATTTAGTAAATTAGGATAAAGTTAGTGAGAAACATAAGACAATACTAAGAACAAGAAATGGCCCTGGCCATTTGATGACCATACTTTGTCTTAGAAAGAAAACTAGCAGGTATATAACACAAAGGAGTTAAATCCAGGTTTGGCTTAACATTAAAACACTCTCTTGACATCTGTCCAAATTCTAGTCACAATCTTGGATTCTTACATAAATGTTCTGAAATCTTTTAAAATAGCACAACAGGCAGAAGCCCAGAACCACAACAGCTTTCTTTCAATAGGGAGTTAAGAGATGGCCTGTTTATGAAATATCTTTACCATGAATTATTCATGCTGGAAAACCCACAAAGTACTTACTAATTCTGCTGTTATGCTTAACTGTGTTATTTGACCAAGAGATTGAAATGTTCCGGAAAACCCAGGAGAGACGAGAGAACTTGGCAAAGCATAGCACCCCATGGAGTCACATGAAGATCCTAAATATTACGTCATCATCACTGTTATATAATATCCTTTAAAGTTTACAAAGTGCATTAATATATATTATCTAAATTAATGCTCAGGACAACCTTGTGAATCAGGTAATAGTACTGAATCATGTTGGAAGATTGGGCGAACTAGCCACAGCCTTTTGCAATCTAACCCATTGAAAATAATAATAACAATAATCATAATCATAATCATCATAGCTAGTACCTAAACAGCATTTATTTTTGTGCCAAGTACTGTCTACGTGATTTTACATCTATTAACTCATTTAATTCTCACAACAAACACAAGTTTTCAAATAAGAATCAAGTCATCTGCTTCATTAAAGTTAGTTGGCAAATTCAGTTTCCACCTGATGCCAAAATTGCACTTTTGACCCTCTCTCCTGAATTGGAGATAATCAGAGAATGACCACCCTGACTTTTCCAGCCAGTGTCACGCTATGGAGCTGGAACAGAGAGAATTGAAGTGAGGCTGGAATAGGCTCGCGTTCCAATGGTCTGTTTACCAACGGAGCCTGAATTGTGTGAGCTCCGGCCTTACCAGGGCAGGACTATGAACTGAGAGGAATGGGTGGGCGTGAATATCAGGCTTTCCCCCATCTCACCAGTCGCTCATGTTTTTTCAGTGGATGGAAAGTTTTTACTGAAGATGTTGCTGCTCTCTTCTGAGAAGTCAAGCAGATACTCCCCTTGCCTCCGTAAGAAACTGCAGGAAAGAAAATGAGTGTTCCAATCCATCCTACCCCCAACAACTCCAACAGCCAAAGGAGGAAAACTGAGGACCAGGTAGGCTGAGCATCTTCCTCAAAGGGAAACAGCTGGCGGGTAGCAAAGACAGAGCTCAAGCTGTGGCGCCCTGACAGCGTCGTGGTCACTCCACACACTGGGAACTGCCCCCTCAGAGACATCTAGTGGAAGCTGAAGGCAAAACTCTAGAACACCCTTCTAGAAATGCTTTCATCCCTTAACCAGAGTCTCTTTTTCCCATAATTTCTTGCCATGTATGCTGAAAATGTATTATTCAAACCATTTCTTTCTGAGTCAAGAGATGACGTGAGCAACGAAGAAGAGAAAAGGAAAAAGAAAAAGATTGTAATTGTACTTCATCTCACATCAGCATACTTAAAGTTTGACTCTTTTGACTTTGGTGTATTTCCATTATTCAATAAGTACTCACCATAGTGAATAACAGAGTAAAGCATCTTCTGTTTATACAGTTACCAATTGTGCCAAAAGCACTAATATTTTGCTTTGGTGAATGTCAGACTCAGGAATAGATGCTGCTCTTTGTTTTTTTTCATCCATCTTCATTCAACAGGTACCAATATGGAAGTGCTTGTTAGTTTACCTTCTGCTAAATATATATGCATAATCAAAATGTGCTAGTTCAGTAGTATTTACCTTACTGTTTATTAACAGGCTCAAACTGAAGAGTATGAATAAATTTGACTGCACGTTACCACTAAGAAAGAGTCTCATCAGTCTAATGCAATTAGAAGAGGGCTTCGCTCTAATTCACTTTGTGGGTTTTTAAATGATCAGCTTGAATGATTCACTGTATTTCTATAGTCCTTTTTAAGAATTCCACTATGGGAATTCAGAGTTTAGTATCTACCCTCTCATGTAGCCTCTGATGTCTTAAACTATTCTGCCACCAATAAACTCTCCAACTGCGATTATGGTAAGAGCTTCTGTAGCTTATTACAGTAGAATTTGAGGTGTGGGGTGGGATGGGAATTAAGACGATCCCATGGCCCTGCCGATTCTGGGACACAGTTAGTGTGTCTTTGGGAGCAGGATACCTTTTGTTTCTGCTGTGATGCTTCCGGTTCAAGCAAAAAATTAAAAATGTTAACTAACTTCAAGACCTTATAAAATCATGAGAAAAATAATTTGAGTTTAAATAAGCCAGTAATTACTTGAGAACAATGACATCTATCTCATGTGTCTTCTACTTCGGTGGACGAATTTTCCTGGGTACTCCTTGAAATGTTTCTTGTTTGTTTGTTTGATTATTTGATTTGGTGGTTATTGTTCAGGGGCCCCATTTAAGTATATAATATTTGTTTTTAAAAATCAACAAAAGTTTTTCCAACTAACACTCCTAGAACCAGAGCATCCTTTCAGCTCACTCATCTTAATTTTGTTTTCCAAGAAGTTTGGTCAGTTTTACAGTGTGTCCATTGTTAGATTCATCTAGTTCTGAATAATTTCATAGCCAAAGAAAATTTAAGCAGAGTATAGTAAAGCTTAATAATCATCAAAGAATGCATTCCAATAGTATGAAAATGTTTCAAATCAAATTCTTTCTCTATTTCTGATTGAAAAAACCTATCCATCTCACTAAGCAATTAGTTTTCAAAAATAACCAATATATAAAATTCAAAAAAAATCAAAGATCATCTCTCGAATTATAATAATAGTATAGTTATTTAACTATGTGTATACTTCTAGAGTTATTTGACTTTTACTTAACTAATACTTTTCCTGATCAATCCCCCCCGATTAAATTCAAGTTCATATTGGCCTATACTCACATTTATTTTTGGAAATACTACAAAAAATTTTCCAAATTGGGCTTTTTAACATGGTTCATCCTTCCTGTTGCTGTAAGAAATTCCAATATGATCCATTTCCTGGAGGTAACTGGATCTTAGTTGCCGTGGCCTTTGTTTTGATGGCTTTGATTTTTAAGGTACAGCCTCACTTCTCTAATACATTCTGTGACTGGGCATACGTATTTAGGCCTCAAAAGGACACCTCTTCAGACTTAAGAAACAAAAGCAGAAGTGGTTTCAGAAAAAGTGTGTAAAATACAAAATTGTCTTCCAGTGTAGTAGGTCCTATAATTCTGCTTGACCCAGCAGAAGTTTATGTCTTGCTCAAATAATGGTCCAACGCGAGAATTCTGAATTAAGAGATAGCTCTCCTCTACACAGTGATTTAGACAGACTCCTTTGTGTTTTGGTCCTGCCATTCAAGGCCTCATAATCTTCTGCATTCAGCCAATGAAAGAAGAAAGCATGGAGAAATACTCTTGCTTCTTTTAAAGCCAAAGCCCAGAAGTAAAAAACATCACTTTTGCTCACATTTCATTGATAAGAAATAACCACAGAATCAAACCTAGGTGCAAGGAAAAGGGGCATGGAAAATATAGTCCTTGATTGGATTGCAACTTCCCAGTGATAAACCTAGACTAAGGAATGAGAAGCATGAGTTTGGTGCACAGCTAATCATCACTGCCACAAACATCATCAGACAACCATTTATTAACACCTATTTTGTTCTGAATGCTGCATTAATAGTCAAAGACAGCATACGTGAAGTGATGGTAATTAACTACAATTTACTCACTCAGTCATTTTGTTTATTGAACAAAGATGTTTTATTAACTCAGATGTTTATTGAACATCTACTATGCGCCACTTACTGGGCTGTGAACTAAGGAAACAGGGATAGTGCTGTCAGTCCAGTATGGGAGGCAGGCCTGAACGATGCTAGATTACCCCAAAGGAAATCAAGGACCTTTTAGGATTCCAATGCAGGAGCATGAAAAATAAAGACTTTTCTGTCTCTTTTTTCTCTAAAAGAAAGCTTTTGAGACAATTTGATCCTTGAGATGTCCTTAAAAGGCATTAAAATGGTCATCAAAAGAAAAGTAAGTACTTTGTGGGACTTTCTTATATTTAAATTATTTATCATTCTTTAATTACATGTAGAAGGAACATCAAAGTATTTTTACAATGCCCGAGCCCTATAAAGTCTCAACTTGGTCTTGGATATTTTTTTTTAATTGTGGTAACGTTGGTTTATAACATTACATAAACTTCGGGTGTACATCATTATATATTTTGATTTCTGTGTAGATTACATCATGTTCACCACCCAAAGACTAATTACAATCCACCACCTCACACATGTGCCTAATCACCCCTTTCACCCTCCTCCCTCCTCACTTCCTCTCTGGTAACCACCCAATCCAATCTCTGTCTCTGCGTGTTTGTCGTTTTTATCTTTTACTTATGAGTGAGATCATATGGTATTTGACTTTCTCCCTCTGACTTATTTCACTTAGCATAATATCCTCAAGTTCCATCCATGTTGTCGCAAATGGCCATATTTCATCATTTCTTATGGCTGAGAGGTATTCCATTGTGTGTATATACCACATCTTTATCCGTTCGTCCCTTGATAGGCACCTAGGTTGCTTGCAAGTCTTGACTATTGTGAATACTGCTGCAATGAACATAGGGGTGCAAGTATCTTTATGCCTTTGTGTTTTCAAGCTCTTTGGATAAATACCCAGCAATGGGATAGCTGCATCATATGGTAGATCTATCCTTAATTTTCTGAGGAATTTCCATAGTGTTTTCCACAGTGGTGGCACCAGTTTGCACTCCCACCAGCAGTGAATGAGGGTTCCCTTCTCTCCACATCCTCTCCAACACTTATTGTTTCCTGTCTTGTTAAGGATCTTGGATATTTAAACAAATGACTTAAGGAATGTCAGAAAAGACTTCACAAATGGGATGGGATTTGTGTGACTTGGAAAAAGAGTCGGGTTCAAATGAGGAGAGGAAATGAGGGAAAGTGTTCCAGGTCAAAGGAACTTGAATAGTGCTAGTCAGTAGCCAGTGTTGAGGGTACCATTATGGCTAGGAATGATCAATTAACATGGGGGGACTTGGGGTCCTCTTATCAGCCTAGTTTCACTCAGGCTATGATGTAGAGGAATCAGGTCTGCCTTCCCTGGTGAACTGTGAGCATCTCAAGGACAAGGACCATAGTCAACCTTTAACTCCGATAGTATCTGTCCAATTATAAGTGTCTCCCCACATCTGGAGAATTAAATAAAATTGCATGTGTGCATCCACTTGCTTCTTATAAACTCTGCAATATATGTTACAACAAGGGGAAACTTTTTTTTTTTTAAAGATTAGCACCTGAGCTAACAACTGTTGCCACTCTATTTTTTTTTCTTTCTGCTTTTTCTCCCCAAATTCCCCCAGTACATAGTTGTATATTTTAGTTGTGGGTCCTTCTAGTTGTGGCATGTGGGACGCCACCTCAACATGGCCTGATGAGCGGGGCCATGTCCGCGCCCGGGATCCAAACCAGCGAAACCCTGTGCCGCCGCAGCGGAGCGCGCGAACTTAACCACTCAGCCACAGGGCCAGCCCTGAGAGGGAAACTTTTTAATCATATCTTGACTTTGAGAACCATGTTGTTGAAAACCGTGTTGTCAGTTTGAAATGAAAGGAAGGTGAATATTCTTATCTGTCTAGGATTGGAATGCTTCTGATTTTCATCACAAATTAAATTTACCAGAATCTTTTCTTCTTTGCACATTTCTCCTTCTGTCATCCCCTCTTACTTTGTGTGATAAGTATGAGATATGTTTCCCCAAATAATCCTCACCCTAGAAAACTGTTGTGATCTATTCTGTTAGTCCTTAACATCTGAAGAACTGGAAACACTCTTAGTTAAAAATTCATGGTGGGATTCTTCCCATTTTATAGAACAAACTCTGGTAATTTTCATTATTTCCAATATCTAGAAGGGATGTTATTTACTATTTGTGCTGTGGTAGAAGGGGGAAAATTTATATCACTACCTTGCTGTGCTTCTTATGAACAATAAAAAGCAGCATGAAGGGCCACAATTCTATCGGTTTTCTCATAAAGGCTTGAATTCATAACATGGTGATTAGAAGAACTTCTTTTTCTCTAGGTAGAACTGACATTGAAATTAGCTTGAATCAAGATGGCAATCCTCAAGACCTTTGC